AAGCATTCATCAATAAGCGGGGTCAAATCATATTGCATCATCGATATTTATGAGGATTGAATTCAGTAGTTTGCATCATAAATTATTATTATCGACCGATATTAATGCATTGTGTTATAAATCATTTTACAGTTTTAGTTTTGACTGATTTTATACAATACATAACCGTGCAATCAATTCCCCGCTATTAAGCGATGAAATGAGAGAAATTATTTTTGTTACAGCAGCAACAGCAGCAGCAGTCATTCATTGTACATCGATCATTTCATTTTATGAGGAAGGAAATGGAAAATATTTTAGCATTATAATCTTAATTAAGATATTTTAATTAGAAGTGAAGTTACATTACAACAACTAATATATATATATATATTGAAAATAAAAGATAAACAAAAACAATAGCGGTTTGTCATTCATTCTTTATTCTTTCTCATCCATTCTTTTGTACAGAAATTCTTAAGAATTTTTACGTATTTAAAAATTACTCAATTTCCTTCAACAAATTATTTTTCTTTTCTTAGAAAGCATTTTGAATGCTTACATTATTTATATCATTTAAGATGCTTTTTACTTCAAAAAAAATATATATAATCAAAATTTTTTACAAACAATAATCGTTTTGCTTTTGTTTTTTTTTTCGAAATGAATTATTAAAATTAATTAGAAATTAATATTCTGAATAAAATTTCAGGTATAAATAATTACATGATATGGAATTTTTTCCTTTTTTGTTTAATTCAAATGCATTTTTTATTTCGAAACTATCAATTCGTAATAACATTCATCAAATTCCACAAATTGGAATAAACAGACAAAATTTTTCCAACAATTTAAAAATGATACATTTTACAGCCATCCTTCCTATCCATTCTATTGATAGAACGATGACCATGACGATGATCACAACGACAGTAACAATGACGATAAGATAGAGATAACGATGACATCTGGTATGGATTAAATGAGATCGGATGAATATGATGCGGTATTTCAAGAAAACGGTTATGCATCATCAAATGTATTATATGAGGCCTTGTATCATTTGTCCGGAACAAGATGTTATATTAGTTAGCACATCTTGAATAAAATCAAATATATCTGAGCGCATCTTATTTGTAGCAATTTTGTAGCAACAATAAAAATGAAAACTCTTTTCGGTATATCCTTTTTTTTCCGTTTTTTTCCCTCTCTCTCTCTTTTTCGTTCTTAAATAGCTTTTTATCATTAGTTTATATTGATGAAACCGACAGCTCAGTGGTTGGAAACATATGGTAAGCATATTATTACATATAGTTTACATAACAGATATTATTGTTGAAGTGAAATGAAAAGAGGAATGAATTTTGAGGGAAAGATATGATAATATAGTATCAGTTGCAGGTAAATTAATTTTTACTTTTTCTGAATTTTTACCTGGAGAAGAAAATTTTTGCTGAAGTTTGTGAAATATATTAATATACAAGTTATACAGTTAGATAGAAAAGAGTTAACACTTATGAGATATTATGTCTTAAGCAAATTTATAGGATAGATATTTGTTAAATTAACAGAATCTGAAATACGGAGTTTGAAATTCCGGAAAAAAAGTGAACCAAAGCAGACAGGATAGGTAGGAACTTTAGTCTTGAAAAACTTGGAAGTTTTTCTTTCTATTCATTTAATACTGCAATTATATTCGAAATTAAGATATGAGTGTAATCAGTGTTGATTACACATTCTACAAATTCGTTTCTAACTATAAGAATTTCATTCTTTTGTTATAAGAGAGGAATAGAAATATATTATAATTTTGTATTCCCAAATCGAATTAAAATCAGCAAATTGCATTTCCAGTATTTTTGTAAACATTTTCAAAATTAATTGAGTTGATCTACACCGTTGAACATTTCTCTTGTAGGGTAGAAGTTTTATCAAATTAAGTAGTAATTACTAATTACACTTGCGAAAATTGTCAACGAAAAGGAAGTGAAAAGGTTAGATTTAATGTTCATTTTCAACTTCCATTTCTATAAATCACTACTGATAGTTTTAATTTTTGATCTAAAATGGTTGTTTACATTTAAGAAATGTAAATTCATTAATATATTTTATTTGCCAGCTACTAATTATTGAACATTTGAATGAATTTGAAAGAAGGAAAATAAATTTTTTCTTTACTTCTTAAAAATATACAAGGTCATCATTATTATCATCATCATCATCATCTTCTCAATAGCTTTCTGTTTTTTATCTTTATGAAGACTTTTTTTTTAATAAAACAATTTCACTAATTACCCTTACCTGAAACTAAAAATGCCCAAATGTCTCTCTCATTTCTTTCTCTTCTTAAAAACTTTCCATTTTTACTCTTTCTATCTCTAAAGATGATAATGATAATAACGATATATAATACAGTTATCATGACCGCAATCGATCGTTAAACACTAATATATCTTAGTTTTCGCAGATATGTACGATGTTAAGAAATTAATAAAGGAAAAGAGAGAAATGAGAGAGAAAGTTAACGAAATAAGGTGTTCGACAAGACATATTCCAAAAATAGATTAATCTTCATAAAGTTTGATGGGTCAATGCAGTCAGTAGTTGTTGGTAGTGAAGACAGATGAAATTAATATCATTTGATGATTAAGATTACAATCTTTTTCATTAATGACTATTACTATCCCTACTGCAATAGTAACAACTTCACCTACTACTATTAATGCTACTAATACAACTACCACTATCACTACAATCAACAATCAAACTACTACTATTTCATTATATTAATGGTAATATCACGAAACGTTTTCATGTCAAACATATGTTGTCACAAATAGCATTGAATATAAAGGGGAAAAAAACTGGGACGAAACATTTTTCTTTTATCAGAATGAAACAATGTAGAAATTAATGGAAAGTACTAATGCCTTAATGAATTATCATTAAGGTAAGTATTGTTTGAACAATTTACCTTTATTTTGTTTATTTTTTTTTCAGCAAAATCATAAATTTAAAATGCAGAAGGAAGAAAATGCTGAAAGTATTTTTTGACATTGAGGTAATTATTGCTTAATCAATTTACCTTTACTTTGTTTACTTTTTTTTTTCAGCAAAATTGTAAATTTAAAATGAAGAAGGTATTTTGAAGGAAAATACTGAAGGTAATGAAGAAGAAAAATGCTGAAGGTATTTTTTGACGTTTTATGCACAATAAATATTTGCCAATAATAATGTACAACATGATAATGAGTGAAGAGGAATATATGCAGTACCGGTAAACAGTGTATTGTAAAGGTACAATTGGATTATATCCGAATAATTAGATTTTGCTCAAAATAAAACAAAACAAAAAGAAAGAAAAAAAAAACGAATCTTCACGATATAATTACATTTGATATAAAAATTTAGTCTCAAAATGATTGACTAATGAATGGTTGAAATTCTTTTTTGGAAATTCACAAAATGAAGATGAAAATGATTTCAACATTACAAATATATGCATAATGATGATAATGAATGATTAGTTGATAACGGATATAATTGCACAAGAGAAGCAAATTAATTTGCTAAATGAAATATGCAAAAAAAAAAAACATTTTTAAGTGAATTTTCAAGAAAAAGCGTGAAAATAATATCGATAATGAAATATCATTCTAATATCCTACAACAGAAGTAAACTTAACAAATAAAAAGGAGAAAAAGAATACCAAATTAAAATAAACAATATCGATAGAATAATTCACATAAACAAAGCATCTCATACAGTACGGGAAAAAATCGACGGATACATTTAAATTACATTTTCAAAATTATCAAATCGATTTTTCAGCTTATCCAGTTTTAATATCAATTTTCGATCTCTTTCATTGATTACTACTGATAAAGAAAGCCAAAAGAATTATCACGGTTATCACAATTTGAATATCATTTCTCTTTGTAACCAAAAAAAAACCAAAAAGAAATTCAATTTATTTATTGATATAATTTTCAGAAATAATTTCAAACAAATATTACAGTATAATGAACGAACAGTTGATAAGGGAGACAATTGTATGAGCAGATTCACTATACATAAGGTAAATAAATAAGCACAACATATTTACCTGGCTACTTGACGCTTGCTAAGTAACTGATGTCCGAATATACAAACCCATAAATGAAAAAAGTATGGAAAACAAAACCTTTGATATTGGGAAAAAAATGATCAGATTTTTCAACAATTAATGAAGAATAACCGGTTCGAAAAAGGATTGCAAAAACAGAAATGGATTTAATGAATCGATGTTTGAAATGACCAGTGCTTCAAAAAAACATAATGCATGAGATGCATATGAATATATGCACAACTTGCAAAATTACAAACATCGATAAAAAGAGCGCATGAATAAAACAGAAGAATAATCATTTTATGTAAAATTTGTCACACAAATTTTGAAAGACCAAATTTAATTTGGAATATTACTTCTAAATTTGACCACTTGATTACTTCGATGAAAGATATACTTTTTCATGCTTTAGAAAACTCTTATCATATTTAAAAAAAACATTGCTTCAAGTATAGTAGCAGTTTTTACATCAGTTTATCGTTTGTAGTTCTCTTTGGCCAAACCTGTGACAATAAAAGTTAAACTAAAATGAAAAAAAACGATATTTTCTGCTTCAGCTTCGCAGATATTCTCTGTTAAATTTGTCCTGCTCCTAAAACAATCACTTGTTCTCCCACATTTTGTATTCTCGAAAAATTTTTAGTCTAACTTATATTCTTCGAAAATTTTATCTTTCAGAAGACAGAATTATAATTAAGTAATTTAATTCACATAATCCTACATCATGAAAACAAAAAATTAACAAAAATTGTAAGTAATTTAAAGTAGTATTTCGAATAGAAAAGATGCAGTGAATATAAGATAAGGAAGTGAAGTTTACGGCTGGCAAGAAGACTACAATCAAAAAATTTCAAAATCCATGAAAATGAAAGAATCGTCATCATTTGTGGAAGATATTGAATTTGGCCCCACTCACTTTTTTGAGCGCGATATTTTGGCAGTTTTTTCGGCTAGATGCAATGGTATAGATGAACCACTACATGATTTAGTAAGCGATGTTATGCTACGTACCGATCTGCAAAACAGAACTTATGCTTACATAAAGGTTTTGGAAAAATGAGGACAATGGTTTAGCAAAAGAATTATCGATGTTATTTCCTTTCCCATGTGACTGCCATATCGTAATATTATTTCTATACTGTGCATAATAGAATCACAATGAGTGATAGATATCCTTCCTCCTTATTAAGCGCTCTCCAGAGAACTAGATAATGCAAAAAAAAAAATTCAGATATCCTTTTGGAGAAAACTGAATCAAGGACTGGGTACGTCAACCCCACTAAATCCATGTAACTGTAAACACGATCAATGACCACTCAATTTTATCTCACTTTTAAAAACTTTCGAAACTGATAAGAGCTAACACTGATCGGTCGAATGAAGATGATGAATTGACTGGTCCCATCATATCATGTGAAAGATGATTCGGTGAACTTGAATTATTCATTTCATAGAATTTCACCCACTGCTCTTGTAATTGTTCTTCACGAGTTTTCAACTCGGCCTACAAATAATAGGCAGAATTAATTTTGTAAAAGAGAATATAAAGAATTAAAATTTATCAGTTTTAAAAACGAAAATTTATTGAAATTTACAAGCCGACATTCAGTGAGACTTGCTATCTAAAAATAATTATACTCTCTCTTTACTTATTTATGATATCAACTATCAAACTTCAGATAAATCTAGTATGACAGGTGTATAAACAACGAAGCGACATTTGTCCTGAAGTTTTCGTTATCAGCTGTTCAAATTCTTCCATTTAATTCATTCATTTTCATAAATAGTCAATTTTAACCGTACAAACGGCGTTGTCATTTTCACTACCTTCAGCTCCATAAGCCATTCAGATCAAAATTTGTAATAACTTTAAAGACTTTCACTTAACATAAATCTTTCAATCACATAAACAACAGCAATATTTTCAAAGACACCACGTTCGTCCTAACAATCAAACTATTACGCCATTAATCAAACTTCATTTGCTATCATTTAAATCCAGTGCACAGGTAGATCAATGTTAAGTTCTCTTTAGTAAAAAAACTCAAGGCAAAAACAATTACAGTAACCCTAACCACTGGTCAAAAAAAGGAGAGAAAGATATGACAAGTAAAAGATGGAATCTAGAGCTCACGTATATAAAATTAGACATCTAATGTGCACATATCTTATCCAGAATCTTTTTCGTTTTTGATAGACCGCTACAGCAAGTTTTTGACCATCTAGCGGCCGCCATTAAGTTATAAAGCAGGAAATTAATGACAGCATAATCCGCTGAATGATGGACACGTGGAACAATCATCTGAGATTGTTTACAAACGAAGATTATTAATAAGAGCTAGAGTTACTGGAATTGCTCGTCTCAATGAGCAACAGGACTGTTATGTGTGATGGATAGAAGGAAGAGATGCTAAAGAAACAAATAACTACAGGGCGAAGTTTGCATACTGTTTTCGGTTTAAGAAAAAAGTTTCAAGACGCCAACTTTTAGTCCCTCAACGCTAAAACTATCAATAGCTCCAACCATCTGACCCAGATGTTCAATACTTTCTTCCAGACGTCTGAAGTTTCAATTCAAACGATTCGAGAAGTCATTACCATGCAAATCAACTTTTCTTCATCACTCCATAAAACATTAAAAATTACCTCTTTCTCCAACAATTCCGTGGTGCGTCGATTTATTTCATTTATACGAAGTTCGGAGAATATCTTGAATTCACGTTTATCGTTTTGTAATTCATTCTGTTTGTTGCGTAACGCCTCCAATGCACTGGCTGGAATAGTCGCCAAACGTCGACTCTTTAGTGATGCAATACGCAGCTCACGACTATAATGCAAAAAGTAATTTGTCAATTCATAAGGGCCTTTATATTCCGACAAAAAAATGCGTCTGCACAACCGATAACATCAACTGATAAGAAATATTGCACTATACTTCAACTAAAACGGCGACTAAAGCATTACTATAATTATTACGGCAAATTACTCAAGCGGTTATCGGACAATTTACACCAATCAACAACTCTGTTATATAGTCATCAAATACAACAATTAGTACTGAAAGAAAAAATTGGGGAACTTTTCACCTTTAACTTTTAATTGAAAATTATTACTAAATTGATAATTAAAGAACAATTGAATACGATACTGATTATCTAGCTAATTTCGGAAGCAAAATTCTCCAAAAAATAAAGTGAAATAACAATCAAGATTTTAATAAGTTCACCAGTTTTTACAAGCTCTTACTGAATGTTAAAGAAAAGAGAATTCCTGTGTCATAGTAAATAAGTCTCATAATTAAATGGACAGAACAATAATGACTAAGATGAAAAAGATTAACCTGAAGGAAGAGAAATTAAAAAGTGCAAAAATATGAAATGTGTTGTTACTTCAGATAATCCAAATACCATTTTCTGTAATTTTTTAATCATTTTTTTAAGTTTAATAAAAGCTTTCCACAGAAAGAAACTTACAAAGCAATTTCACTTTGTAGCTGATTATTTTCAACCCTGAGTTGAGCATTTTCTCGAATAATACTTACAGCTGCGCGGCGTGCCATCGGACTCAAGAGTAACTGCAAACAGAAACAAAAATTTGAATTAAAAGAATAGAACGAAATGATCCTAAAAATTTTTTGACTATTTATTTAGTAGCAAATAGAAGCTAGAAAAAATTCCAAACCTCAATCATTACTGTAGCAGTTACTAAGACCACCAGAATTATCAGGATATTCACCACTGATTTCCAGTTGAACCCTAACATTCTGGAGGAGACTTACAGACTGTAACTACTAGCAAAAGAAAAGATGCATAAGATGAAAATAAAAACCGGAAGCTTCCTCATTTCTTTCTCCTCTGTAACAGAATCGTATTCTTCACCACATGGACTTGCATCTGTTATTTTAGGCTCCGTTGTATGTCGTCGGACAAAACTACCTGCAAAATTAAATTAATGAAAAATTTCTTCCAAACATGCCAACTCATTCTTGAATGGCAAATACGATTTTAAACCAAAGCCCTACGCGCTTATTACATTAACTGAATAACGGTATCAAAATTATTTTTCAAACAAATTTTATATTTAACCTTTCCTTCGCTCACCGATACCACTGAAAGTTCGATTTCGCCTCGGCAACTTCTTACGACCTTCATCACTTTCACTTTGATCAGTGGAATGATTCGAATCTGATGTGCAAGCACCAGCATCATATGCATCATCAAAGAATGATACAAAATCATCTTCATAAATTCGTTCAGCGTGTTGCACCACTGTAACTAATTAAATAGGATGGAGCAGTATATCAATTTTCATCCTTATTATAAAAATTTTTGAAATTTCTTCAATAGTAAAAAAATTTCAAATTGAGATCCACGAAAATGACTGTTCAAACACTGATAACCTCTGCTCAACGAGGTTCGCCTTGCTGCCCGTAATTCAACAAATTTTTGTTTGACCAAACCTTTCATCTGAAATGGAGCTAAGCCTTCAAGAAAAATCAAATGCAAAACTCTTCCAAATATTATTACAAAAAAATCCGACCGACAAATTTGAAAAATTGTCAAGTATAACAACAATAGGTACCTTCTCTCGAATAGTATTCCGAGTCATATCCGTTCGATCCATTAATGGAATCTTTGCTATGTGTAAACGAAGCTGCTCAAACCACGCCAACCGTTTCTCAATGTAGTTTGACAGTTCTCTTTCATTTTTTATGCGTTTATCTGTAAACTTTCTTGAAAACTATTGAAAACTTGAGAATCAGTTCCTTCTTTATTCTCGAATATATGCACTGACTAAATAATCTACGTGATGAGCTTTTCCACTTTCTTCTGGAAAGTCTTGAAGCATATACAATTACTAGTACTGCAATGTGCAATGAAATGAGCCTCATGATCATATCAAATGACAATCAGATATTGGTGCATTATCCTACTTTATCTTAATAGCCTAAAAAAGTGAAACTTTATTCCATTTAGGAAGATAAAATCCATACCAAAAAGTTCACGCAATTTCTCTTCCCATCTTGCAATTTCTTGATTCAGTCTTTTTTCCTCCGGATCTTCATCCGGCAAATTTATACTACTTGAAACAATGGCACGTTTTACTGCAAAGTTTACAAATATTTAAATTAAAAATGAAAAAAATTTTTCTAGTACCAAATTTCCGCAAAGCAATAAACGAAACACACACACACACTACAAACCTCGTCACATTCACTTTTTTCTTTTTCAAAAACTCCCAGAAGACGGAGCATTTCAAACCATCCATAGCTTGAAATAGAATGGATCAGATGAAAATGAATCTACAATTAGCAGTCGAAATTTTAATAATCTAAGTTTTTCAATTATTGAAATAGTGAATTCATTGCATAATTGTAGCAATCAATCATAGATCGGCCCATGAAATGTTTCAGAAATCTCTACTAGCCACGGCCAAATTGGAATTCTTAAGACAAAATTACAAAGGTTTTATTCGTAAAAATGAAACACACAGTTTTGTTCCTAATAGAATTTTCAAATCATTTTAAAACCGATAGATTACGTAAATTTGTGATATTTTAATTCTAATTATTTTAAAATGTAACAATTTTTTGAGTCCAAATTTTTGTATAATGCTAATTTCCGAGGCCAAGCAATTATAAAATCTTAATAGGATGTATTAATTTCAAAAAAAAAAAAATACTGTAAACAATATCATAATAATGTTATGCATGTTTGTTTATGTATGTATTCCACATTTTGTGTAACTACAACAATATAAATATTATGCTCTCTGTATGTGGCGTACGAGTGTAATAATATCTTTGACGGATGTCTGAAAGTTTATATATATATATATGCACATAGGATGAGGGGACCAATTCCTATGGGAAGCAGGAGGTATATCGTGAGTTATTGACGAGGAATATAATGAAATTTCTCATTAAACATGGACAAAGGAGAAGGGACATAAAAGCAAACAATCCAATATTTAATAAATTTCATTTGAAGGGAAGCCAGAATGCCACAGAAAATCCGATAAAAAACCCACTGAATCCAAAAAAATGGGATAGAATTGTATTCGGGTACAAATACAATCAAAAACAAAAAGTTTAGACCAACAGAAAATTAGTTCCCGATTTCCAGGCTCTAAGAAATTAAAAAAAAGTTTAATCCTAGAATAATTTAACTCCGTTTCTAGTCGGAACAACTTCTAAATCACTGGGTTAAACATTACCTTATCATGGTCTATGAATGAAACAGACAATATCTGTCGGTCTTGAAATTTCCGCAATTTACTATATGCATACATTATCTGATCATTATCGCACTATGTATTTGGATTTTTCGATCCAACAATACTACTATCGCATTGAATGAACTAACCATGTGTCGGTGCCATATTTTTTGCCATTTCAATTGCTTTCTTCCACTGGTCAACATCAGCTTTGGAAGCAAAGCTCACAACAAACAAAGCAGGACACGGATCATCAGAAAGCAAAAAGAATAACTTCGTACTACGTGGCACTTCACGAACCAGTAACTTATTTAGCGCAATTACTGTGCTCTGCAACCTTCATTTCTTCAAACACAATTATTTTGGCTTCATAAAAATCTTAAAAACTTCAATAATATTATCTGAAATTCTGAATACTGAAAGTACACAAAAGAAAAAAGTGAGCAAGAGCAAAATTTAAAGGTAAAACTAAGTATTTTACTGATTCATATTTTGATAACGCATTAGATGTAAAAACATCTTTTAGGTATAGTATCTGAAATGAAATTTTAGATAAGGCAACATTCATATTAAAATTGAAAAAATGTAAGCCAAAAAATTAACCCCGGATCCACGATCAAGAAATACATATTTGTTGTTACTCGAATTTGCCAACATGATCAGAATATCATCGAACAATACTATTACTACTTCTGAAATGTATAAATTTAAGCATTTCTGAAGAAAGAGTAATTCAACACATTCACGTTTCTTGATTCCGGAACACATATGCTACGGAACTTGAAAAAGTTTAATAATAAAACTATGCCAATTGTATAATAAAAATGATCACACTCAACAAATTACAATGAGACAAAATTGTACAGCTAATCAAATGTCCAAATAGTAATAAAATATGATTTTCTCAACTTATAACAATACTGCTTTGTCCTTTTTTCGCATTTCTATAGACTGTTCATCTCGTGGTTGAAAAAATGAGTGTAACAGAAACCCCAGCATATCGGAAGATGCCATATAACATTGGAAACAAATTATTATGCTATTTATCAAACGATAGTCGAAAGTAAAAGGTGTATGAAGCAAAAATTCAAATGAATAGGAAAAGTATAAATTGATAACTAGCATCCAACGAAAAATCTACCTGTTCTTCCTTCAGCCTGCTTTTTCTGTGAATTCTGGCAAACTGCACCGCCTACACAAATTACTTGCCGTTCCTCATCACTGCCATTTAGTATGAGATCGTCATACTAGAACAGAAATATGCAAAAAGTAAAAACAAAAACCAAAATCTTCCAGAAATTTTTTAATTATTCTGAAGAAGCAAATCTCAAAAACAGACATTAAAAAGGCTTTTTACCTAATTTATCTTAAAAATTGAATATGGGCTTTATTTTTTTAGGATGACTTATTTCACTCTAAGCCTATGTGTTATCATTTTCAGCATTCTTGAAATCCAACAAGAGTAAATGTTACGCATCCTTTTTTTGAAGCAAAATGGATCGAAATATGAGTAAGAAAAAAATTAATTGGCATTAACGGACTGTAAAAAAATCATTTGGTCCAAAGCGGCCTTTTGACGAATGGTCCATCTGTAAGCGTATTCGATCCCAACGCCTATATACTTCTAATTTAGCAATTTCATTATTAACATGCATCGCAAATTCCTTCACCGCTTGATAAGCCCGCATGCTTTCTTCTTTTGCTGCACCACTTTCCATCTCAGTAATCTACAACAACTTCTGCTCGTCAATATTCATAAAAATGAATCAATGAAATCCAAAAATTCAAAAGAATACTAAAATATCGTTAGTAAAACCAAATTCAGTTTTAAAAATAAAGTTGGAAGTATTAGTCTTGTCACTTATTTTCCATCATTTGTATCTTATGTTTCGAAATAATGGGGAAATTCTTTTTTGGCTCGATTGCATGAATTATTAAGAGCTTGAAAATTAACAAAAAGAATAAAAATTGCAAAGTAGGCAGAATAGATAAAATAACTATGTAATTATTTTCCATCTTCATTTTTTAATCGAAAGGTTGCCAATCTTTTTTATGATATACGGTCTTTATTTGAATTTGCAACGGTTCTAATTGTTGGACGCCTCACCATTCATTTCTCATTTTTTTCTTTCAAATTTAATTTTAGTTCTGTATAGAGAACTAAGATAAAATAATAGCACCAACTAGAATTATCCGTGATAAGTTACATATGGCCAAGTATGAGAGAGAATGCAGATTTCAACACTCACTTTTTCAACCAATACTGGATATTTGGTCAATCTCTGAGCAATGAGCAGCAAACACATTTTGAACGTTCGTCCTTTATAAGTTGAATCTTGTTCATATTGCTAGAAAAAAACCAAATTATGATAATCAGAAATTTTACATAAATTCGGTCTATTACTGATTTCGTTGAAAATAACTGAATATTGATCAAACTGTTTTACATCAAAAAATTTCCTGAGCTCAGCATTTTTCAACATCCATTCATCATACAAACGACCACATTGATCGTATTTTGAACAAAATTCCGTGTAAGCATATATTACAGCTTGATTTCGTTCTCCCTTTTCAAACTGAAAGCAAAATTTGTGAGCCAGATTTACATTAGCAGAAGTTTAGCATAATGAATAAAGTGATTACTATTACAATCAGCAACGTAGAAATTCAATCTAGAAACTGGTTGTAACGTTGCATTACTGTCAGAAACAAAAGTAACTTTCATGAGGAATAAGACATTTCAGATGCTATAGCTTCAATTTTCTAATTTGAAACGTTCGTGTTTGTCTGATTTCGGGATATATTGACAAACTAATTTACTTAACCATAAAATATAGCTAGATTTCATTTTAAATAAACGATTTTATAGCCATGAAAAACTAGATTTCACAGTTGTATTCTCCAAACATTTCTAATCTAATAAACACTAAGCTTATAATCTCAGCATCAATATCACACCAACATTCATCCGTATTCCTGGCAGAATAACAAAATATTTTGGGAATATATTTCTTACCTCCGAGTAAATAATTTTTGCTACCGAATTAACAACTTCTGTTTCTAATCTTTTCTGGTTCAACTGTCGCAGGAAATTGAGATGAAAATCAAGCAATGTATCCAACACAGGTGGAATCAATTCGCTCTGTTTTGCCTCGTCTATAATACCCTTCATTCGAAGTCCTTCTTGATAGATCTGAAAGGAAGAAAATTGTTTCCATCTAAGAGATTATTTTGAGAAATTAATTTTAAATCAACTTAAGCCATTCATGTTTTAATGGAACATGCATATTGCTACCCTAAAATCCTTACCTTAAAACAACCACCGAATGAAAAAACTCGAAGACTTCGAAAGCTTCGAAAAAACAATGAGACAGAATGTGAAGATGACACTAGCAATTTTATATAGCAATTTTCTCTCTTTTCTCTCCATCCTTCGCCATTCTTTTACATATGAAATTTTAGATCGCAACGATGATTTTTGAACAAGATTTTGCTTTCAAATTTACTTAAAATGAATTAAAAACACTTACTTGCTGAAGAATTACTAACACTTGACAATGATGTTTCTCGGTCAAATACAGCTCTGAAAACAGATATCTAAAAACCAATTCAAATCAGTCTGAATCACTCACATCTTTCAAAAGTACAGAGAATGAGTAAAACAATTACTAACAATTTCACATGCAATAAAAACAATTTAAATCTCTTTCTAACCATGAATAATATCTTGTTTTTTCCGTTCTTTTTTATTTAATTTGAGAGAAGAGTTACTGGATGACCATGTTGCCGGTTCCTCAGTCCATAGATCCAAATCAGCCCATTCTGGTTTATTCCTGGAATTTAGACTTTGAGACCAACTTTCAAATCATTCCACTATACCAGAAAAAATTTTTGTTGCGTACTAAACACTTGTTTTGGAAGATTTCCTAGAATCATAGGATGATGACCGAAAAATGAAATGACTTCCTGATTATTCTATTATTCTAATGTCTGATTCAATTTAACTGTGCTATGCTTCAGAGTTAAAAGGTTATTTAGTAGAATTCAAATAGATTGAAAAAAGTATCCTAACATGAAACAAACAATTCATCAAAATATTTATTAGAAGAAAATGTTCTTACACTTCTGGAACAAATTTTTGTGATTCTTTATTGAGATATGCACCTAAGTAACGGCCATCACTTGTGCCAACTGTATTTGGTATTTTGTCCAATAATGGTTTTGTAAAGGTATCCAGTGTTCCTGAAATCAAGTTTTTTAATTCGAAGGAAAGCTCGTCTAAGAAATTTTACGATGAAATTAACTACAAAACCAAATATAATCAAAAGATTTTTTAAACTTTATCAGAACCTCAAAATCCTTCCACATTGTGTATCTCATGATGCTACGACACGAAGTCGTCAAATTGTACGTTTAATATCCTCATTAATAAACAGCTGATGGTTTAAAATTAGGAACAAACAGTTAATTTGCTTGACTGATTATTTTGCCACATGTCTAGCTGATTTTTTTACTCAAGCGAGGTCTGAAGTTAATCGATGCATGTTATATGGGCAAATAATGATAAGGATGATGAGGTAATGAAAGAAGACATGAAATGTTAGAATTCGGATCTTCAGTCTACTGACTTGGCAATATTATCACTTGTCATTATTAACAATGTTATCATCACAGTTTCGTCGATAATTATTATCAATGTCTTCCATATCTTCAAGGAAGATCCGGAGGCCATAAACCATATTAAAAATTAAATGAATACTTGGGTACATGAAAATAAAATGACGCTCCCCTTCAGGTTGCATAAACAACATCATCGCCTACATTTATCACGTCCGTTGCATGGTTGTACTTACGAACAGACCAAATAAATTTTATCGATAAAAGATGATGCATCAAATCCCTACCCTTTTCAATGGAAAAATCAAATCGTTTTAGACTGGATGCTTTTCAGTGTTTGCAATCTTTTTCTTTTTCACGTGTAACAGATTACAAATAAATAAAAGACAAATTATATGCCTCACAACTGGAAAACTATCATCCAATACCATAGTTAACAGGATGCTACCGTAGTTTTAAATTCATAGGATAATAATTACCGCGGTTTATTTCAATGAGAAAAAAATGTGAAATAGTTGGACTCTTTTTCATCTTTCCTTCTGCTCTTAAAATTCGTTTGTTGTTAATTTACCAGAAAAAACTATGAATTGTAAAAAATGAAATAAAGCTAGAGAAGGATTCACCTTTTACAGATAATATACTGTTGAATTTAACAAATGTAAGGCAACGAAGCGCAAAAGCTCCCTACTTCCTCAAAACTTGAAATTTAAAATAAAGCAAATTATGAATTCTAAGCTGATATAAATTCATCTATAAGTGTATTTTAAATATGATTTCATTTCAGGAGCATTCGAATACATAGAATAGTGTTGAGAATTTTTTAGAAGAGAAATTTTTCCTAAATTTCAGGATATGAAGTAGTAACGGGATGAAACCATGATAAATACTCAAGAAATGAGCAATGACACGATTTGTATCTTAGCGTCAAATTTCAAGAATCATTACGAAAAAGTATTGATCTATAAATCGAATAAAACTAATGGACTATTAAAGTATGACGACTAGAACTTTTTTTGTGAGCCAAAGCGCTAGCAGTAAGTGTTATACCGTATGATGTGGAAGATCAGGAAGTGGAGAGAAATGAGAGCAGTGAATAATCGACGGGCAAATTTAATGGAGTGAAAGCAAAAGTTTGAGAAAAACAAACAGTGGGAGGAAAGTAGCATCGACTGTTAAGTACAGATAATTTTCGTCTCACTACTTAAGGTATATAGATATCTCCTATAGTGAAATATTTCAGGTCCTCTCCCAAATTGCAAATTAACATATTTAAATCTGCAGTTTCCTTTCGTTTAGAATGAAAATGAAATGTTAAAAAATGAAGATATGCATAGCCGCCGCTGGAACATTTAATACAATAACCAACCATTAAATCCTTCTGCTACTGCCGATCGTTTCTGAAAACAAGTGTTAAAGGTCATAAATCAATAACACCGTTTTTTTACAATAATATTCTTTAAATAAACGAAATAAGTATGAAATCGTACAACTGTTTACACAAATGTCAAAGTTGCATCGTTATGAAAAAAAAAATGACGTATTAAGTAGAAACATAAAAATCTGACGATACACCTTATCAGATATTCCTGAATCTGAGAAACACTGCTTCACTAAATCTTAAGTTTTGGATAAGATTTAAGACATGAATTAAGAAATAAATTTAAAGCTTCACCCAAATCATCTAATAGGTAGCAAAAAAATATGCTGAACAAAAATATTTAAGGCTGTTTTTTAAAATAGAATTCTAAAAAAAGCAACCAACTTACATCATTAAACGGTGTAACGACATCCGAAAAACTCCGTAAATCAGGTTTCTAAAAAAGAAAGAAGCAATCAGTAGGTGAATTGAAAAGAAAAATTAAACTCCAATTAAAAAAGATATCAAAATTTATTTAACTTTAAAAAAGAATCTTGGACTAAATCCGATTTGTACGTCAGAATTCTACAATTTTAGAGAACTCTTTCGAATTTTTAAAATTGTGCCCCTAATTCAGCTAACAGCCTTTCTCTTTCGCAAATATTTGTATGAGTTACCAATAGGAAAGGCGAATTTTCTCAGCACTCTTTAAATCAATAATTACCATAAATATTTGAGCATTCGCCAATATTCTTTATCAAGCAGCAGTCAAAAACTTCCGGTGATTTAAGTTCGGAAAAATTTGAGAAAAAGCTTATTTCTTCTTGATAAATTTATTTAAAAATTGTTAGTAGAAATATAAATTACTTACACGAAAGAAATCAAAAAGTGTGCTTGTCTTTCGTGAGTGCTTCTTTTCAACGCGAATTCTCTTTTCATATTGTATAGAACTAAAAAAACTTGTATATATTTTTTCTCTGATTCCTTTCGAATTTTAAGAAGTTAAATTTTAGAAATGAACAATATTTTCTACTTATTTCCAACCAAAAAAGAAAAAATATTTAAAAGCAAATCTAACTTATCGGCTGCCTTCCGCGAGGAAGCAGTAGCTGTTGTTCGGGAAGGTCGTTGAACTGGTCCAATAACCTGAAATTGTTCTAATTTTCAGGAAAAAACAATGAATGTTTGCAAGAAAAGCTCAGAAGTGATATTACGGAACAGAATGATAAAACCACAACAACTTACATACGACAAAATCTTGAAATGTAACTAAATCATTTCCCACTATTATTCATAAAAGCGCATTAAATTTCCATCAGACACCTAAATGTCAGATATTTTAGTCTAAAAACTCTCGAAAAGATTCTTGGAATTTTAACTACAAAAATGCGTTTTTTGAAGAGATTTTATAAGCTATAAAGATGCAACATGTTGAGTTCCATAGAAAAGTAAATTAATAATAAAATCATATTTCAGCATTACAAATCGTCCACATAATCAAATTACTCCACATCACATCACTTTACAAGATCTTTGAGTGCATTATTATTATAGATGATCGTATCACATGATCTTTCACTCCACAAACAAGAAAAAACAACGCCACAACTATATAAGCTCATGCAATGTTGGAAAGAATTTAAGCTATGCCGAAATTTACCAGATTTCGCAAGAAAAAGAAACATTTGATAAAGCTGAAAGCTTCGTGAAATTTAATTTGTCGGTGACATATTTTTCATGATGGCAAATCTGATAATCTAGATTAACCAAACCAAAATTAATGAAACGCTAATGCATTGAAATTACATATAATTCATTCAAATGATTAAGTTACCCCATAACTCATTTCATGATGCTTATTAAATGAATGATCGAGCGAGCTGTCTTCAATAATTTGAGAGTTACAACAATGAGTTCTTTGTATAAATTTTCAACAATTTTAAATTTCTACCAATAAATTTGTCAAATTTTTAAATTGAAATAAATTATACTTGATGTGGTCCAAATGCTGCCGGTAGAGCTTCTTTCCATTTATATCTTCCTTTCTGCTGTATAGCCGGATGAAGTTGCATACTTTGGGCAACTTGTTCAGCATTATCTGCAAAACAGTGATTCGTATATAACGGCAAAAAAAATATTGGTATATTTCAAATGTAATCATTAATTATTAATCTTTCTTACCGATGTACCTGAAAGAGATAAATCTGTAGTGTTTAAGTATGTTTTTAAACCTGAAATAGAGTAAGAAAACAGTATCTCTTTAAAGGAAAAAGGTAAACTATTAGATACAATCAAGTTAGCCGTATTTGCAGACCTGAACTGCAATGGAAAATTTTCCCATTTTTATTGAAAGCTACCACAACCCAGTCAATCACAGATGTAATAAATGGAAGTATTAACCACATAACTTTAAGGAATATTGGCATATATTTGTGCTTGCATTAGTCCTAGTTCACTTTAGCACTGTCAACTAATCCGTAATTAATGAGTGATAAATGGATTTATAAAGTATAATAACCTTGGTGAGATGGAGATGGTATAGCCATTTCACTGACATTCGGAGATGAGGATGACAAATTCTTAATGCCGTCCGATACTTGAGATCTTGCCCAATTCTTGATGAAATTATTTTCCTCTTTCAAAATCATTTGACTTTTGCATCGTCCCGAAAGCTCACCATTTCGTGATGACGAATTACGCAGCGGCACTGATTTCTTTAGTGGCGTCTAAAGATTACTTGATGAAAAATGATATCAGCTGAAGTGCCGCCAAAAGTTTACAACAAATAACACTAAAAAATTTCTTTTCGTAATTTGACGCAAAGAACTCAGGTTCTCCGACATATTGTTACGTCTTTAAACAGAATTTTCTATTCATTAGTAAGGATGCTAGAAAACGAAATAATGCATCACAGAACTGAAATTATTGTCCTTTATCGTCGAAATTGAAAATTAATTCGAGAGAAAAAAAGGTAATTACCCGTTCTTCTTGATCATATATCTTTTTGAGCACATTTTTGCTTTCAGAACGCCAACGACGATGGTGTGAAACAATACCGTCGACATCAATAGCTCTTTCACGATGATTTGTTTCAGGAAAACTTGGCATATTTACTGATATGTCCGAGTTGCACATTTCATTTTCCTGCAGAAAAAAAATCTGAATATATTAGTTTTAAATATCAAATAATGATTTCTAACATTTAAACGTGCGTGAAATGATTGCCGTCTGTATGTGCCATATATGAACAAAACGCAAAGAGATTTTGACGTTATGAGGCGATGATTTAAATATTTTCCTAAATGAACGTTTTTAACAATTAGTATCACTTTCCTATGAAATAAAGAGATAATGTAAGATTTTATACAGCTTACTGTTCTACTCATTACTAAAGAGAAATATGGGCACAATGGATATGAAAATATAACAATGAGTGCTTGAGAACATACGAAGTTGCTTAAAATCTTAAAGATTTCTATGTAACAGTAACGCTATGATATATTTACTTATGCTGTATAAAAAAGCAATTATGTCATTCGTAAAATCTTTCTCTAACCTTTTCTACATTTCTTATCCACTTCACTTTTTTAGTGTCCTCAGCTTTTTTGTTCGAGAATAAAAGAAGATAAATCATGGATTCAGAAGTCATGCAATCACTTCATTACGAAACTGCATTTTGCGTTTTAAATAACATAGAAAAAACTAACAACGTAAGCATCGCTGTGTTCTGATATGACGCTCAACTCACGTGAGGAATCCGAAAGTGTGGCTAAAAAGTTCATGCAAGATGAAGACAAAGAAGTGAGATTCTCGGCATCGGAAGGATGTTCACTTTTTGGATTTGAATGCATTGCACTGTAAATGCATTTCATTGCATTTCACATTTCGATTGTGAAATTAATTTCATTTGTTATAAAAAATGAATTTTTGACCAGATTTAAACGAGTGATGGAAATTTTCATCTCAATGAGTAAAATTCTGCACTCCTCACCAATAACTTAGACAATTATGAGAGGATCAAGTACGATAAACTTAATTCTCTTATACATATGTGATATGACCATGGTAAAAAGGATAAAGCTGCATTGATAGATGACTCACTCTCCTTTCACACTGCTATTCGATTGTTTATTTTTGAGAGAAAAATAGAACAGAAAAGTTCATACTAGTTCTTTCTTAAGTATGGATAAGAAATAAAATCACTACTTAACTAAAAAGTCATCGATTAATTCATTTTCAGCAATACTTTATTAAATAAAAGACTTTAAAGCAATATCAAACCATGATCAGTGGCAGCTATCGTTTATAAATCACTATTAATATCGGTTACCGAAGAATTTATAGTTGTTTTCTAAATTCGTTGAAACTTCAAAGTGAAGTTAAAATGTACTTCAGTTTGGGCTGCTCTTCAAGATCCTGAGCTGGTGTGTATCCATCTGCTTCATCTATAGGATTGACCTTCGGAAATTTCACGACTTGTGGAGTAAAAAACACTGCACTTCCAGTAGCCGTAGAAGAATTGGACAATCTCTTGGAATTTTCAGGTAATGGTAATTCATTTGATAGATCCCTCAGATCCTTAAATACAAAATTTTTGAACCGTATGTCCATAGTTTGGTAAATTCATAAAATTTCTAAACAAAAAAAGAAAACCGCGAAAACTCACGAAATGCTGCTCATATAACACTTCTCTACTAGGTATAATTTGGAGTTCGGATAAATTGGCCACCGACTGCCAATTCCGACTGTCCTTTACCGCATTCGCATTAATTGATACATACTGCATATTATCATGACTGTCATCGATTTCACTACATGCAGATCCTGAAAATTTTCAATTCAATGTGAATATCAGATATTTTATCTTCAAGAAATTCCTTCCACTTCCATGCAGAAGTAGAAAAATTGGAAATGAAAACATAAATGTCACATGATGTGACTACTTTTTTAATTCTTAAATTTACTGAAAATTTGTATGTTAGGTCTAACAAAAGAAATAAAAGATAAATTAGGAGACAGAAGGACGAATAAACCAATAAAACGATAGAAAGTGACATTTTTTTTCTTCGAAATAACAATTAACTTCTATTACTGCAAAATAATAGTTGATTTACGGCATTCATATACTAGTAAGAGCCAGCACATCTTCAAATATGAATAATTCAATTAGAAAAAAACCAACAACATGAATTTTAGCAAAAAAACAACTTTGTTTTTCGAATTCGCATTTTACTGAACAAGTAACGCATCCCTAGAACATTAATCAAAATTTTTGATTATTCATGAAAATTATTCATGAATTTAATAACCAGACAATGAGCAAAAAAAGAAAACAAACCATGATCTGATGAAGTATTGTGTCTTGAAATGAAATATGATAGCGATGGGTCAAATAATGGCTCCTCCATTAATGCACTTAAATCTTCGCAAAAATGTGGAATTTTATCCGACTTCTCGTGTAAGTCTAAATTTCGTGAAGCAGATCGGCTTTGACCACCAACGCTTAAGCTTCTCTTTTCTGCAATTTTAAATAAAAAGAACATTGAAAATAATATACAAAGTTATTTTTTAAAAAGTATTAAGACTTTTTTGTTCAAGCCTAAAAGTTGCAACAAACGATAAACTGATAAAAAATATACTACCAATGTTTCTTTTTTAGCAAATTCTTAAAGCCATTCAATCATTTTGGTACTTATAGTATTTTAAATATCAGAAAATAGCATTAATATGCTATCAAACTTAATGGAAGAGGAAAGAAGATTAGACAAAAAATCCAGAGGGAACGGTAATTCCAACTTAAACATTACATATTCTGTACTATCACCAATTAATTTCCAATTTACCAAATATCTACAAATGTTTCCAATTTACCAAACATCTACAAATGCTTTGCAGAAACTACTAAAATGGATTAAAAACATATTTATTAGCTTTTCTCAATAAATTCTTAGATATGAGGTGCAAATTTTAAATATTTGCGTACTGTTTTGTGCAAAAAAGAGAAATGAATAAATACGATAAATAATGCATTGGTAAAATGAATTAAGTTCAAATTAGGTCAAGGATCAAAATGGTAGGCACATACACAGCAAACCGAATTTCATTGGTATGATAACGAAAACTTTTATTGGTCATTTCATCAACTATTTAATTAATCTTTGATTTTGCTGACACGATTTCTAATAATATTCTATTACGTAATGAAAGACCTAGAAAACATCTGAAATTATGACGCCCATTACTGCAATTTCTAAGCGCCCATCATGTCGGGAAAGCTGTGGAACTTAGGCTACAATAGCATCAAGAAGGATGAGACGATATGGTAAAATTTGTGAAAGATGTTATCCGGAATCTTAAAACCGAAATGAAATTGCCATTTCAAATAAAGTGGAACGTCTTTTTTGCTGCATGAAAATAAGCAGACGAAGGAAGGTATGCTGATTAACAAAAAGATCTTAGTTTCGTTTTTAGGAAGCTTGCAAATAGAAGAAAAGAAATTCGTTCTCCTTTCTCTCTTCATTTTTTCTTTCCAAATACAGCTCGCTAGTTTGCAACTATTGTGAAGACAACGAAAACATCGGAATAATCAAGAACAGATATCTAAACCAAGTCAAAAAATGCTGACACACAAAAATACTCAATTCCAGGAAAGCACACCAAGCATATTTGTATTTCAGTTTGATTTGAAATGAAAAAATGTTTTTTGAATTACATAATTTATTGTATCAACTGATTTCTACAATATATGAAGTTTTTTGCTTGGTTTAAAAAAGATTTTTTTTCATTTAAAGCACACAAAAAGACTTAATAAATACATAACTTACAATTAATATATAATTGGCTTAATATAATGGAGGAAACCTCATTCCAGTTTCGGCAGTCTTGAGTCGAAGTTCAGAAGTGCGTTTAAAAACTTTTTAAAAATTTTTGGATAATACACCAATATTGCACACATTTAAAATATTTTTCCAATTTAATACAACATATATTATCTTTTAGAAGATCGGATACTGAACTTTTCTTTCAATGGGTACTATTCGGTGGCGTGTAGTGTTTATCGGTTTTAAGCCACAGAGGCAACATGTCTCACCTTATATCACTTTTCACAAGGAATTTTTTAAAACGTAATCCAATGACATAAACTAGCAATGATAGACTAATAACTGACGTATTATCTATTACTCTAAATATAAGCAGTTAGTTGACCAGTGAATGAACCAATTTTAAGCGGATTATATAATAAATCGACCAACCTATACAATGGATCGTTTCAATTTCTTTATCAAGTGATGATAACGAAACCGCAATTCGCTCCATTCCAACAGGTGTTGAAGAACTTGTCAATGAAACAGGATTAGTGTCTGCATTACCAGCAAAATTAACAAAACTTTGACTTCTGGATTTGCAAAACTTGGAGAAAAAATTACTTGGTGATCGAACTATGGACAATTGTTGACATTCCGCCTTATCAAGGACATTAACCGACGATGACTTCCTGAAAATATATTAGCAAAGAGCAAAATGTTTGCTTATATTTTTATAAGGCACTGTAATTTGAGAATGTTCGAATTTATTTCATACGACATATGCTCAATATATTGTTCAGTGCAATATTAAACATCAAAAGCAGTAATCAGATCAGGGAGATTGATACTGGTTCCACTTCCATATTTTGCTAGGATTTGAGCAGTAAGATTTCGAAAAACCAAACCGAATAATTTGGTAAAGTAGAGCCTACACTACAGCTGATAGCAGTACCCTCCATTCACTTCAGTCTCTTTGTTTTATAATTGCTTCACTCTCACCTATTTATTAAAAAAAATATCGTATTAATTACTAGGTCATAAATAAAAATCTAGGAAGCAGGGTTTTGAAATTACGGACTAAGACATTCCATCTGTCGTGTTATAATATCATGAATGATCAAGATTACCAGAGTCGTATGGACTTTCAAAACGCCATGAGTGAGAAATTTGCTTCTTAACTTCCATATCTTCGTGATTAGGACTCGACTCGACAAATCTCTTTCTTTTGATTGCAAAAATATTTTATTAACTTCTAACACTACCACTAACTACACAAATTGACGGATATTCAAAATAAAAAAAAATCTTAAATAACAATTCGGAATATTATACTAAATATGACAGCTTATCGCAAAGAGAAACCTGAATATATTTCTTGATGAGTGAAATGGAATCCAACATTGTGAGATCGAATCCACATTCTTCAGTGAGGAACTTCGCTTCATTTATTTTTCATAAGTAATGAAACAATTTAATATTTCATAAAAATAATTAAATGTACTTTTTTTTGCCACAATGAACAAAAAACAGGAGGCAATATCAAATTAGTACTACAATTTTATTTCAGTGTGATTTCCAACTCTTTCCATTATTTTCTCCAACGATGACCTGAAATGCTTGGAGATAAAATGGAAAGGAAAAGGGGAACACATCAACTTATACTTCGACATCAACCACAAAAATATTCATGCCCTTAGTCGAACACGCGTAAATCTGGTCCATTTTTCATAATCAATCATGTTCTTTTAATCACCGATAACTTTCATAATTATAGAAAGAAAGTAGAATAAACACTTCATTAAAGAAAAAAATGTAAAGACTGAGAAGCACCCTAACCACATCAATCACCACTAAATATTAGTCGTACAATAATGAACTATTTGTCGTATGTATTGAAAACGTTCTCTATATTATATGTATCAAAAATCTTCAAGGTTTCTTAAGAAAAAAATTTACAAAGTTTAAAAAGATTTTTTTTAAGAAGACAGTATCAGTGTGAAAAGATTTAGATATTCCTATATTGAGTATTGATTGAAATTATGGATGTAAAAAAAAGAAGTAGTAAAATATCAATCACGAAAATTTGGCAGGAATCGTGTCGTTTTCTAAAGAAAAAGAATTTTCCTAAATTATGACCGGACTAACTGACCATTTCAATATTACTAAAACATGTGATCAAAGCGTCACGTATTCATATGCTATTACCTATAACTATCACCAGTAATGTGTTGAACATTATGTTAGTTATACACAAATGATAGCAGTAGAAAAATTGAATTGGTTTGGGCAAGTTTTGACAATTTTGCAGTTGATAACTTATTGAAAGAAAATTAAACTTAACAAATCATTCAAATCTTAATCAATTCTATTCTTATTTTCTACAGAATTAAATGAAATATAGGAAACTCGACTAATAAATAAGAACAACATAGAGTTTCGGCTTCTAATTATCTGGAACACCTAATTAATGAAACTAGTAATTTGAAAAGAAAAAAACTAGCAAATTCCACAGAATAATCAACCAATTCCAAATAATTCTCCAGAACAGAACTGAAAAATAGGAATATATCGTCAACATTTTGTCCTTTCTTCGACTGATGCTAACTGCTTTGCATATGTATAGCCTTTTTTTTTTAAAGGAAGATCAGCATACCACTGCTGTTCCTCTCCGCCATAAGCCATCCAATCCTTCAGCCACCTGCGCTGCTATTTTTGTTCTTCCACAAAAAGACGTTATGGAAAACTAAAAAAAATGATAAATTTTTCCTTTTCTTTTTCTTCCTTCTTTTATTTCACCTTATAACATATGGCATGAAAAATTGGAAGATATATATAAAATGTAAAATTTCTTTTAAATAAAATTTACATTTTAATAAAAACAAATTGTATTGCTTATCGGAAAATTTCACGTACAAAACAAAACCATTTCCATTTTCGTGCAATGCTGTTCGTTTCGTGCAAACTTTATAACTTAATAAGGGCATAACATAAATTGTGGCAATAAAGTTTAAGAAGAAAGAATCTATATATCAACAAAGAAAAGAATCTATATACAATTTTCCAGATAATTTAAGCTTTTCGATTTTAAAAAATTATAAGCATTTCATGCAGTTTCCCGCTCCCTTAGTCACTGTAAGAAGCATATCCCTAAAAATGATATATTATAGACGAAAAGTAATCGCATCCAATTATTGTAAAAGGAACAGAAATCAGGCCAATATTATCAGAAAAAGGAATTATAATTAATAATGCATAAATGAATATAAGAAATCAGTTTGCTGAAAATGTTCAGATGATTCAAAATCCTGTTATATATACCATTCATTGCATGATATGGACATTCTACGTTACTGAAGTGACCGGAACTGGAGTACAGCGAAACACAATAACTCACTAATCGTAAAATTCAAGCAACTACTAAAATTCGATCTTCAATATAAATTTCTGACTTCATTACTGATTTCCGGTAAAAATCAAGAAAATTACCCTTTGACAAAAATATAAAACAAAATCCGGAAACCCCTTATCATGATAAAAACAAAATCGCTTTGAAATAGTGTATAATAAGTAATCAAATTCAAATTGAACTACGAAAAAAAATCATGATCGAGCAAAATGTTTCAATAATTACATCTCATACATTTAAATTGCATAAAAACGAATAAACCAAACATAGTCAAAGTTTAACGCAGCCCATTTTTGCCCATCTAAAATACAGAAGACATACATTTTGCGATAGCTTTCCATCACAGACGACAGTAATTATGCATGATATCGTATAATCGCATGATTCTATGTACAATTGATATTCATTTTACTCTCATTAATGGTTTACTTTTTCTCTATTGCTATACAAAAGCAATACTGTTCATTGTATATGTATATACAAGAGAGAAATACACAATCGTTATACTCTTATATAAGTCATTACTGGTGTAAGATAAACAATCGTTTTCTACAGTAATTCTCAGGTGTAGCTTAAAGATACTTAATTTGAAACAATTTATAACTTTTGTCTTGAAAATAAATGAAATTAAATGACCTTTCTGTCCGGCGATCCTTTATTATTACTATTCCGATCTCAATCGGATACATTCTCTTTACATTCATTCCATTATTCCTTTAAGTTACTTTTTTAATGCTAAATATTTGCCATACATCCATCTCTCTGTTAAATCTTTTAAATTTTTTGCTGGATAAAGTTTTATGAAAGCTCAAATGTAAAATGGAAATTACATGGAAATTTTAAAACAAAGAATTTGAAAAACAGTAGCATAAACTATGGCCAGAGGAAGGTTCACTATACAATTTATCACGGTATTATCAATTATCAATTTCCACATTTTTAAATACACTACAATGTATGACTTTAGCATCTGAAAATACAGATTACCGGAATTGTTCTTGAATAATTAAGGCTTCCTTATCTGATCATAAACATACGACTATTATTTATGTATGCTTCCGGATATCAAGCATTTTATGTTATCGGATATTTTTCTACATTAGCAAGAGAATAACATTTGATAGCATAAAAAAACATATTGATGAAATTATCATTCAAAAAACATATGATAACAAATCAACAAATAATTTAACAAAAAATTCAATAAAAAATATTTAAGCGATAGCATCAGCTAAAATAAAACAATCGATAAAGTTTAAGCTCGTAAATTACTAATTTAGTCCATCCATATGAAATTTGAGTGTAAAAATTATTCAACGTCAACTTTACAATAACACTATCAAGTTGCTATCAGATCTCTTCCATATTTAACAACGTTTCGATCATTCCGATATCCGAAATGAATTTCAGATTGGATTTTGTAAATTTTTGTTTGTCATGAAATTATTGCCAAAAAATTTTCACCTTTTCATTATATTACCTAATCGGAAAATTTTGTTTAGTAATTAAAAAAGCAATTAGCATAATTTGAAATAGCATAATTTGAAAACTTAACTTAATAGTTATCTAATAAATTAATCATAAATGATAATTAAAAACAAATATTTTTCTTTAATTAATTAAATGTTATAGATTTTTAATATGAAAAAATATAGTAAAATAAAAAGGGTTACAAGGAAAAAGAGAGTAAATGAAGGAATGATTAATAATTGAAAAATAAATGAACCAATCATTACATTACTGAAAACGAGTTCGCTTTTCAGTTCGTGTTATTATGCCAAGTGCAATTTCAATTCCTATTTGATTAAATAATAAATTTTGAAAATTGTTCAATCGAACTTTCATTTTACCATAAACTCACCTAAGAAAATGAACGATGAAAGAAGAGAAAGAATTAAAAGTTAAAAATCAAATTTCACCACTAGCTCTTCTCTCCTCATCACTTCTTACCGGATCCTGTCGAACGATTTGAATAGCTTGTTTATGCTATTTTCTGATTTTAAATTTATTCATCAAAATCATGATAATTAATTAGTAATACTTGATTTTATGAGATTCTATATTTTCGGATTATAATAGTTGATAAATAATAAATATCCGCAAAAATGTAGAAAAGAAATTGACTATGATTTCGATGATAGCAATTAACAATATGTTAACTAGAAATTTTATTATGAGATTGGATAGCAAATGAGTATGAAGAGGTAACAAAATTAGCAACAATTTAACTGGTTATAATGAATAATTTTGATATGAAATTATCAGTGATAACGAATACTAATAACAAGAACAATAGCGATGATAAATGTTTTAAGAAGTTACTAATAACGGTTCAACTCTATTAGCATATTCTTAAACGGAAACGAGCAATCAGAATTATTTGATTTTTGAAATGATCAAATTAAGTTGATTAAAGTTAGAACAAAAAGAGAAATCCTTTTATCTCATACAATCATTATAATCATCATTTGTTCACAAAAAGTATCGAAGTTACGAAAAATGTAAGGGAAGAAAATGTGTCAGTTGACGATGAAGAGGTGAAGATAGGTACCACTCCATCTGATGGGTATTACCAATTTTTAAGCCTTTCATCTTCTCCTGTCAAGAAATATTATCGTTTACTTTGATCATCCTCTCTTTCCCTCTCTCTCTCTCTCTCTCTCTGCCTGTGTCACAAAAACTTATAGATATACATAATTAAAAACTGTGGAGAATGCTTCTTTACATTACTCATTTTTCTTTCTTACCAGCTAACACAAATGATGGTGACATATTAAGA